GGGAAGGAAGGAAGGGAACAACAAAATTGACCCAGCTATACCACATCTGGGTATTTGTCCGAAGAAATCCAAAACACTAACTTGAAAAGATATATGCATTCCTATGTTCATTGCAACATTATTTACAATAGCTAAGATATGGAAGCAATCTAAGGTTCCGTCAAAGGATGACTGGATAAAGAAAAAGTGGTACATATATAAAATGGAATATTACTCTGCCATAAAAAAAATGAAATCCTACCATTCGAGACAGCATGGATGTACCTAGATGGTATTATGCTAAGTGAAATAAGTCAGATAGAGAAAGACAAATACTGTATGATTTTCACCTATATGGGCTCTCAAAATCAATATAAGTGAAGAAACAAAACATAAATAGATTCATAGATACAGAGAACAAGCTGATGCTTGCCAGTTGGGAGAGGGCTTGGGGACTAGGTGAAAATGATGACAGGGTTAAATAGTATAAAATAGCAGTTACAAAACAGTCACCAGGATGTAAAGTAGAGCATAGGGAATATACTCAATAATGTTATAATAACAATGAATGGTGCTGGGTGGATACTAGATTTATCAGGTGGATCACTTCATAAGTTATATAAATGTTTAACCATAATGTTCATATAAATGTTCAGCTATAATGTATACAGTATAGCTAAAACTAATATAATATTGAATATCAACTATAATTGAAAAAAACTTTCTACTTTTTTATTGAATTTATTGGGGTGACATTGGTGAATAAAATTACATAGGTTTCAGGGGTAAAATTCTATAATACATCATCTATATATTGTATTGTGTGTTTACCACCATAAGCCAAATCTCCTTCCATCACCATTTATCCCTACTTTACTTTCTCCTCCCTCTCCCCACTGCCTTTTGGAAAAAATTTTTAATTAAAAAATAAAATCCTGATATGATGTTACACTCAACTCGGAAATACATGCTTTATGTTATTGTCTCAGCAGTTGTAGAGTTCCTGGCATATGTCGCTGAAGCAAACAGACTTTTCATTTTCAAATAGTCATTCTCTGTTATTGCTTTTGACTTAACCTTCTAACTATTGGAAAACTTTTTGTAGGTTTTATTTGTGGTTGTTATTTAAAGTGATAGCTGTAAAAGACTGTCAAAATACCTTTAGCACTGTGCTTTTCAAAAGGAAAGGGTAATTCCTTTGAAAATAATAATGAAAGGATAATAGAATCCCAGATTTAAGAAGGAATAAGGCCTGTGAGCTCATGGATGGCAATCATCTGTCAAGATAGGGAAGTCGGTTTCAGGAGCTAACATATGCTGAGAACACTTGAATTGCTACAATGGGGGCAAAGTGCACTGCACTGGGCAATGCTCCAGCAGATTATTTTTCTAGCCAGGGAAGACTGTGGCAATTTTGCCTGTATAGTAATGGTCAATTCACAGCCATCTAATAGTCTGGCTTTCATTGAAGATATGACTAACTTAAATGACCTGAATGTTTATTATATATTTAATACATGTACTACTTCAAATAATATTTCCGAACAAGTATTTCACCTTATAAATACTAATTTTATTTTATTGTCTATACATGAACTATGGCAGTTTGTAGCCAATATGGAGATTAATGAGCCATACAAAAATGAAGTGTAAATCTGCATTCTGCTGAGAGAACATTTTTAGAGGATTGTAGCATTAATTACAAGATAAATTCAGAATTTGAGAAGCAGCATGATCTGGTGGAGCAAACACAAGCTTAGGAGTCATATTGACGCCTCTGAATCCTACCTTGTTTATTTCCTAGTCATCTGAACCTACATGAGTTATTTAATCCCTCTAAGTCTATTTCTTCATCTATAAAATAGGGGGAGGAGGACAATATCCACCCAGAAACCTTTCAAGAATCCAATTAGATACACATGTGAAAGAGTGCCTACCTCACAGTCAGACAGAAAAATTTTCTCTACAACATTCTATTCAACGTTCCTCTCCCTCTCAGTGGAAAAAAAGCAGAACATTAACACTTCTCCAAATAGTAGTCAAGGATGTCAGTAAAAGAAAATGCCATGTGTAAAATGATTACAAGATAGTACGTTATAGGCAGTGAGGGAGGTGTACTGTCAAGCAGTTCAACAATCACCTTGATTATTCTATGGTAACTAAATCTCAAAGCGCAAAACACTATTTGTATAGACAGCAAAGAGACACGGAAGAAATTCTCTTATTCTGTGCAGAAAAATCCTTCATAAAGGATATTTGTACTTAGGTTACTAAAAAGTTATGTATAGGAACCCATTACATGTTAAGTGGGCATTTTATGGTCGGTTTTCCAAGACTTGAACCCTGGAAAAGCCTTCAGGATGAAAACCTTATTTAGGAACCGTGGTCTGAGCCAGCTTAATTCTAGAGTTTGTCCATTTTAGGCGCCAAGTATCTCAAGATATTAAATCGACCAGGGACGGATGATAAAATAGGCAAGGAGGTGATAGGTGACAGCCTTGTGAGCCTCTTACGTGGAAGCAGAAAAGAACAGGCACAGGGAACGGAGGGCTTCTTTTGGGGGCCCAGCAGCCTTCTTGCTGCCTCCAGGCTTCCCTTCACCCTCCCTGGAACCCTCAGTCCACGAAGAGGATGAGCTTGGAAGAGGCTGGTCAAGAATCACCCTCCTGAGATCCGTCCCGTCCTGGAGTGGTCTCCTGCGCGCTCCTGACTGCGTGGCCTTAAGGGCCAAGAAATGCGTATCTCTGCACCTAAAATGCATCCGGGCTGACTTAGAGCCTTGGGAGCACACCCACAGTGCAATTAATTACTCCTGGGGCCTGTGCATCTATTCAGGATTTGAGGAAATTCTTCAGAAACCAGTCTTCGTAGGGGAACATAGGCTCTCCGTGGAGGCTAAATTCTCTCAGCCCAGCGCGCGCGCGCGCGCGCGCGGGGTGGGATGGGGGAGGTGTTGGGTTTCTTCGGGGCTCTTTCTCATCAGCTCCCACTCCTCCAGCCTCATTTGTCTTTGTTATTCATCCGTAAACATAATGTTGAAGTGGCAGGAGCAGAGTTTTAAAAACACAGCATCCGGACTCCGGCTGGTGTGGCTCTGTGGCTGGAGCGTCGGCCTGCGCGTCCAAGGGTCTAGGATTCTCTTCCCTGCCAAGGGCACGTGCCTGGGTTGCAGTTTCCATCCCCAGCCGGTTGGGGCTCCTGTAGGAGGCAGCCTGTGGGTGTCTCTCTCACATGGATGTTTCTCTCGCTCTCTCTCCTTCCCCCTCCCTTCTGCTCTCTCTAAAAGCAATGGAAAAAATATCCTCAGGTGAGAATTTAAAAATATATATATACTTAATATATAAATAAATATTTATATATTTAATAAATATAATAATATATTTATATTATTATTTATAATATATTAATAAATATAATAAGATATTTATATTATTACTAATATTATTATTTATAATATAAATGTATATATTTAATATATATGTATATATATGTATATCCATCCTCGAGTGAGGATTAAACAAAAAAAAAACAAAAAACAAAAAAACAGCATCAGAGGACCCCTGAGGATGCAGAGGTAGCGAACACCCTCGGGCACCCGTCAGTATAGGGGCTCACACTCGAGGCCGCCCCAAGGGAGAAAACCCCCTGCGCAGGCGCCAGGCCGCCCCCTCCGGCCGCCCGGCAGTCTAGCCGCTTGCTGCCCTCCCTCCGGCCCCGCCCGCCTTCCCCGCGCCGCCCCGCGCGTCTGGCGATCCCCGGGCTCTCGGGCCTAGGCCGCCTTCACCTCAGCCTGCGCTGCGCCCTCCCAGCCTGGGGCGTCGCTGTCCCTGCCTCCGCGCTCCACACGGACACCTCCGGCGCTCTGGCGGGGCGGGAGGTGGGGGGAGGTGTCACCGCGGTCTAGGGCCGACTGGCGGCGGCGGAGTCGGTGGTCCCTGCGCGATGGCCGCCTCGGTGTTCTGCTGCCTGCCGTGCTGCAGAGACGGCGGAACCGGGCACATTCCTCTGAAGGAGATGCCGGCCGTGCAGCTGGACACGCAGCATATGGGTAAGGGCCCTCCCCTCGCCAGACCCAACGGCCCACACGCGTCGGTGGGCGCTGAGGGGTCGGGAGGCCCACCTACGGCCCCGCCCTGCCGGGCCCCGCCCCCGCTCCTCCCTGGCGACCCAGCCTTGACCCTGTTTGGTCTAGTGAATCTCCTCCGGACGCCTGCCAGCTCCACCTCGGCCCGGCTCTGTGTTCACGGCGACGCAGCTCCTGTCATCGGGAGGTGGGTGTGTGGACCAACCCATTTTCTCTGGAATTTCGCCGGAACCTCCTTGGAGCTGCTGCCTCCCGAGACTCTTCAGAGTCCCCAGGCGAGGGGCGCGGGGAGCGGCTTGGTGCTCCTCCAATCAAAACCTGAACATTTTCAGAGTGCTTTAGGTCTTACCCTGCTCCCCGCTCCTTCTGCCCTGACAGTCAGGTTTCTCTTTAGCCCATCGTTTATGGTTGAATCTCCATTTATTGGAAGTGATTTTCCTCTCACATTCTAAAGTCAAAACGAGGCAAATTGCAGCAGCCTGAAGTCGCGTCTCAGATCCCATCCTGCCACTTAAGCTAAAACCTCCCATTACCTGACTCCTCCTTAGTCACGGTTAAAGGTGGTGTAATTTCATCTGACTAGCTTCTTCCCAGCAGGTCAGGCTATTGCAAAACAAAACAGTTTGCTCCTTTTGCATCCATGTTTTTTCCTCCCAGTTTCAAATGGGTGTATAACTTATCTAACATTCTTCCTCTCCCCTCTGTAGCCTCTTTCACACGTTATTTCTGTTCTTAGACTTTTCCCATATAGTTCCATGTTTCTGGAGTTTGGTTCTAAAAGCAGAGATTTCCCACTGTAATTATTTCAAATAGAGTACTGTCTTTTTGTATATTATTCTATTCTAAATATACTTACACACTTTTGATTTTTCCCACATCTCTCATTGGCTAAAGGACAATGCACTGAAATAACAAAGGCAGTTCTTAATATTTATAGCAAAATCCTCCCCTGCCCAGATTCTTTATAATTCTGGAAACTCTCTGGCCATTATATTTTTATATTTCTATAGCATGTACTAACCCACAAATGTGATAATTGTATACCACTTTGTACATGGTTATTTATTTTTAACTCTTTGGATTTTCCAAATGTAATACAGAGCCTTAACACATAAATATATGTAGGTATGTATGTATATGTATATCTCTTTAAATTATTTCTTATCCAGTATAATTTATAGACAGGGATTTTCAAATTCTGTAATTTCAGAAAATGTTTTCATTTTATTCATTCAAGTGATATTTATTGAGTGACTATCGGGTGGCAGGCATTGTTTCAGGTGCTGGGAACACAGTAAAGGACAACCATATGTAGTTCCTGGAGCTTATCAATTAGCTTTTGCTCTTTCTGTCTACTGCCAAACTCCTGATTTACTGCAGTCTGCTGTTTGGAGCATTACTTTTTTCTAGTCTCTATGAAGAGCTAGTCACTTGTATTTATTCTACCAACCTTTTCCACATCTGCTCAGCAATTTCAGTAAAATAATGTCATCTCCAAATTTTCTACCTGCATGGAGATTTTTTCTTAACCTTTCTTCTATTAAGTTCAAATTTTTTAATCACAGAAGAAACCTGATTTTAGAAACTGAATAGCATGAAAGAGAGGAAAGGTTTGTTGTGTTAGGAATACATTTCAAGCATAAATTCAACTTAAGTTGAAAATATGAGAAACATACTGAGCAAGTATGCATGCATTTGGATATGTGAAAGGTATATTAGATAACCTAAAGAATGTGATTGCTTTTTTTTTTCTTTAACAAAATAGTCTGTACATTTTATATCCTAACGAATGTTTTCTCTTTTAAAGTTATCACTTATTTTGGTGATGTCACATTGCTCAAAACCATTTTGGAGTTCCTCTATTGGGATTTTCTGTGGCATACCTTTTGTAAATATTTGCATTTTTGCCATATCTTCTGCATTAATTGTGAATTGACTTTTTAGAAATGACTGTCTTCCAAGGTATCCAAGGTAGCTGCTTTGAAAAGGATGCCATGCATTTGGAAATGTCTGATGTTTCTTAAAACACACTCTTTAAAAAAAAATTATTGTTGAGAGTGTTAACAGATGTCCCCCTTTTTTCCCCCCATTGCCCCCTTCCACCTGGTTCTCAGCCTGACCCATGCCTTCACCACCCTATTGTCTGTGTCCTTGGGCAATGAATGTATGCATATAAATTCTTTGGTTAGTCTCTTCCTGCTCCTGTTCCCACTTTGAGATTCACCAGTCCTTTTGATGTTTCCATGCCTCTGGTTCTATTTTATTCATCAGTTTATTTTGTTCATTAGATTTCACAGATACGTGAGATCATGTAATATTTGTCTTTCTCTGACTGGCTTATTTCACTTAGAATAATAATCTCCAGCTCCCTCCATGCTGTCTCAAAGGGCAATTGTTCCTTCTTTTTTACAGCTGCATAGTATTCCATTGTGTAAATGTACTGCAACTTTTTTATTCACTCACCTACTTGGGCACTTGGGCTGTGTTCAGATCTTAGCTATTATAAATAACACTGCTATGAACATAGGGGTGCATATATTCTTTCTGATTGGTGTCTGGGGATTCTTAGGATATATTCCTAGAAGTAGGATCACTGAGTGAAATGGCAGTTCCATTTTTAATTTTTTGAGGAACCTCCAGACTGTTTTCCATAGTGGCTGCATCAGTCTGCATTCCCACCAACAGTGTACTAGGTTTCCTTTTTCTCCACATCCTTGCCAGCATTTTTCATTTGTTGATTTGTTGATGGGAGCCATTCTGGCAGGTGTGAGGTTGATACCTCATTGTCGCTTTAAATTGTATCTTTCTGATGATTAGTGATGTGAGCATTTTTTCATATGTCTTTTGGCCATTTGTATGTTCCCTTTGGAGAAATGTCTATTCAGGTCCTCTGCCCATTTTTTAATTGGATTGTGTCTTCCTTTTGTTGAGTTGTATGAAATCGTTTATATATTTTGGAAATTAACCCTTATCAGATGTATCATTGCCAATTATGTTCTTCCACGCAGTGGGTTCCCTTTTAATTTTGATGCTGGTTTCTTTTGCTGTGCAGAAGCTTTTTAGTTTGATGTAGTTCCATTTGTTAATTTTTCCATTGTTTCTCTTGCCCTAGACGATGTATCAGTGAAAATTCTGCTACATGAGATATCTGAGATATGCTGCCTGCATTTTCTTCTAGGATGTTTATGGTTTCATGAATTACATTTAAGTCTTTTATCAGTTTTTGAGTTTATTCTTGTGTATGGTGTAAGTTGGTGGTCTAGTTTCACTTTTTTGCATGTACCTGTCCAATTTTCCCAGCACCATTTATTGAAGAGACTGTCTTTACTCCATTGTATGCTCTTGCCTCCTTTGTCAAATAGTAATTGACCTTAATGGCTTGGGTCAATTTTTGGGTTCTCTGTTTGTCAGTTTCTGGGTTCTCATTGATCTATATGCCTGTTCCTGTAGCAGTACCAGGATGTTTTGATTACAGTGACTTTGTAGTGTAACTTGATATCCCATATTTTGATCCCTCCAACTTTGTTCTTCTTTCTCAAGATTGCTGTGGTTATTCGGGGTCTTTTCGGGTTCCATATAAATTTTTGAAGTATTTGTTCTAGATCTGTGAAATATGCCATTGTTATTTTAATAGGAATTGCATTGAATCTAAAGATTGCTTTGGGTAATGTGGACATTTTAATGATGTTGATTCTTCCAATCCATGAACACGGTATATACTTCCACTTGTTTGTATCTTCTCTATCTCTTTTTCAATGTCCAGTTGTTTTTTGAGTACAGGTTTTTTACCTCCTTGGTTAAGTTTATTCCTAAGTTTCTTAATTTTATTGTTGTTGCAATGGTAAATGGTATTTTTTTTTTTTTTTAGTTTGTTTTTCTGAGAGTTCATTATTGGTGTATAAAAATGCCATCAATTTCTGAGTGTTAATTTTGTTTCCTGCTACTTTGCTAAGTTCATTTATTATATCTAGTAGTTTTTTGGAGTCTTTAGGGTTTTCTGTATACAATATCATGTCATCTGCAAATAATGACAGTTTCACTTCCTCCTTTCCAATTTGGATGCCTTTTATGTTTTCTTTTTGTCTGATCGCTGTGGTTAGGACACTGGAAGTGTACTATGTTGAATAAAAGTGGTGACATCCCTGTCTTCTTCCTATTGTTAGGGGAAATGCTTTTAGTTTTTGCCCATTGAGTATGATATTAGCTGAAGGTTTGTCATATATGGCCTTTATTATGTTGAGGTATGATCCCTCTATTCCCACTTTGCTGAGAGTTTTTTTTATCAAATATGGGTGCTGGATTTTGCCAAATGCTTTTCTGTGGCTATTGATATGATCATGTGATTTTTAACTTTCAGTTTGTTTATGCATGTATCACATTTATTCACATGTGAATACTGTGTGAACCTTGCATCCCTGGAACAAATCCCATTTGGTCTTGGTGAATAATTTCTTTTAAATATATTGCTAGGTCCGATTTGCTAGTACAGTGGCACCTCAGTTTTCAAACGTCTCTGTTGACAAACATTTCTGTTTACAAACGTCGTAAAAACAGGGTTTTCCAACATGCTCAGAAGTCGAACATGCCATGTGGCTTCCGCTGAGTGCAAGATCCTGAGGCCTAGCTGTTGGCTATTGAGTCTTCGGTTTTCGAACATTTCAGAACTCGAACGGTCTTCCGGAACAGATTACATTAGAAAACCGAGGTACCACTGTATTTTGTTGAGAATTTTAGCATGTATGTTCATCTGGGATATTGGTGTGTAATTCCTTTCTTTGTAGTGTCTTTATTTGGTTTGGAATTAGGATAATGCTGGCCTTGTAAAAAGCGCTTGGAAGTGTTGCTTCCTCTTGAGTTTTCTGGAATAGTTTGAGGAGGATAGGTGTTATTTCTTCTTTGAATGTTTGGCAAAACTCCCCTGTTAAGCTGTCCAATCCAGGACTTTTGTTTGCTGGGAGTTTTTT